AAATGTAATGGTAAAATGATTCCTAATGATGTTCTGCTATATTCATAGATCAGTCGCTTGTCCAGCCATCACATATCTTTTATAATGACTGGGCAACATTCAGTTAATTTATTGAATAAATAAATTAATATATCATTAATTATAGATAAGTCTATTAATATCATGATATTTTTCAGTGATATTCATAGCCATTTCTCAAACTACAGCCTTAAACTTCTACACTTCTCTCCATGGTAATAATCAGGAAGAATCTGTCTTTTGTCAGAAAGAAAATGCCTGTGAACATTTGCAAAAACTACCTTGTATAATGAAGTCAATATATGATGATGTTGTAATATTTGATCCTTTAACAGCTTTTATTCACTAGCTCTACACATAGCTCTTCTTTACCTACTGAAAATGGCATTTACACACAAATCTAATGGTTTTATCTATTTGCCTCCGTTTTCAAATGCATATGCTTTTTAAGAGCTGTGTTCATCAGAAACTGTTCATCTATTACTTGAAACAAGTGTGTGTGTGTGATGTCATTTCAAAGCAGAACCCCCTTCCACCATTTTAAAGTCCCATTAAAGTTATCCACCTAGAGTTAATTAATTAAAAATATTTTAAGTATGTGGGTGTTTGCCTACATGTAAGTCTGTTCCCCCTATGTCTACCTTCCACCAGTGGAGGCCAGAAGAATACATAGAATGCACTGGAGTTGTACAAGGTTATAAGCTGCCATATGAGTGCTGAGAGGTGAACCTCACTTCTCTGTATTGAATGCAGAAAATATGGAAACATTTAAATTTTAAAATCATCTCTTCAGTTGAGGGAAATAGTTTAAATAATGTCAACATGGACATGCAGGAAGAGCAAGTTTTACATAATTTTCTTTTCGGAAAAGCTAAGCCTTGACACTGCTCCTGATAGCTACATGTCATTAACTCCTTCAAATACATTAAACAAAATTCACCACAAAAGTACATAATAAAAAATATTTTTAACATTGTGATGAAATAGCAGTCAGAATAGAATAATAATGAACCCACAATAATGGAACATTACAGCTTTTTAAACAGAGATACCTTTTTGCTCAGAGTGAATGTAATTGTTGGAGTACATTGCAATTCATTCATATCTTCCTAGTTAAAACACATAAAATTCAGTGTTTCATTATTGTCTCTGTTATATACATGAAAGTTGCCTGCAAAGACATGTTTTATAAAGGCTTGAACTATCAAACATGACATATTCTTTGAATTAAATATCTAAACGTTTTACTTCTGTAATCTACCTTTTCTTAGAAAATATAACTATCTCCAAGATCTTGACTTGATGTCATTAATGAGTCTACTATGATCTACCTATTTTAATTTGAAGTTAGATTTGAGTGTATAAATAGAACAATGTGATAAATGATTCTTATGAAAACTAAGCAGTTCAAAAACAGTCTCTATCTTTTCAGTGGCATACTACAATAAAAACTAAAAACAAGCAACTAGGACAATGTAGGTGGAATGCCAAAGTGGATGTGGGAAAGGCCAGAAAGCTTCAATCCTGCACAGAGAACTGCCCACAACTGAGGAGCAGGAGTGGTGGTCTTCTCTGTGATAATCATACAAATTTGTTGCCCAAGGCCAAATGAACAGTCCTTAAAAAGTGCATACAAGCAGGCTATATTTAGAAGTATTTAGAAGTGTGTGTGTGTGTGTGTGTGTGTGTGTGTGTGTTCGAAAACAGTTATTGAAAGAGAACATGAATATGAAGAAGAATGGAGAGGAGTATATGAGAAGTTTTGAAGAGTGAAAAAAGAAGAAATGTTGTAATACTATTATAATCTTAAAAACAAAAGTAAGCAAGTAACCGTGCCCTAGAAGAGCTTTCTGACACTATAATATCTCTCACCCCACTGGATTGGATTTCCAATAATTACAATATTACAAATAAATATTAAAAACACCTTCTGTGTAACAATAGGTTTGTCAGAAAGTATTTTTATCATACAAATAAATGACAACTAATTCCCTGATTTAATTCTATAGACTGCCTAGTACTCATGCTAGGTTTCTATAGAAAGAAATCAACTTAATGGCCATCAGTGTTGTCAGTGGTTATAAAAGTCGGTGAAACTAACAAATCTTCAAATTATCCAACTTTTATTACCATTCCACTAATTCAATATCTTGAAGGGATGAAATGATCCTGTAAGGAATTGTTCTAGGTATAGAAAGCCCTTTTGGTAAAGGGTGGTTTTATTTTTGTTGCTTTGTAAATTAAACATGTAATGAAACACTTTGCCAGTGGGCAGATAGCATACAACTTAAATTATTTTAGATAATTTCTCCCCATAACTCTCTTGTAATCTAACCAAAGGGGAAAAAAACAGGTGTCTTTCACATCTCTCCTGATTCAAGAATTATATCTTCAATGTAAGCTTAGATCTGTCTTTGCAACTTTGATCCAACTATAGAGGAAGACGAGAAGAAGAGAAAATAAATTAATAATTATCAAAATAATTGAACCAGTAGGAGCCATCAGTATTACAAGGCAATGACTACAGAGACTTGTAGAGTGATGGACCATTGAAATGTGGCTTCTCAGGGAAGCAGCTACAAAGAGCTCACAGATGATTTTGAGAATCTGTTCAGTTTTGCCTTTTATTTTTAAGTATAAGGATATTGGCTCATGTTAACTCCAGACTACAGATAATGAGAATTTACTAAGTGAACACTGTAAAATAGTTTAAGGAAAATTTGATGATCTCATGAAACTATTAACTTTCATGAGCTAAGAGAACCTGAATACTACTAAGATTCTTGCTCACACATTCTTTATAATGAAAACTTTGATTCCAAGTTCAATGTTTAAATCTTAAGTGATTCCAACTTCCAAGTTATATCCCACATGTAGGGCATCTTACCTAACCGCTAGTGGACTCTTCTCTCTCACATCACTTCATCATACAGAGCATATAGGAATGCAGTTTCCTTGTCTTCTTTATGGCTCCATTGCAAGCCCTATATCTTCCTCCATAAACATTAGGTGACCTTCTGTTCCTATCACAGTCTACTCAAAGTTAAATTATGAGTAATTGAGAATAATTCTGCAAGAAAAGTCTATAAACAATTATAGATAGTTAATTATTATACCAAAATTCCCCAGCTAGAACACTTCTCTATTTCTGACCAACAAAAATCTATATAACACTATATTCAAGTATTTATAATACATAAAATAAAAATCTATTCTCATGACAGCACAGTTTCTTAATCCAACAAAATATGGTTGCTTTATCGAAAGTTTGTGGGGGACTAAACTAATTTTCAAGGAGACTCTCAGAGCTGGTTTAAGATGACACGTTGTTCCTGTTATCATCAGCAAAGAGTCAGCATCCATAATGAAAGAGAGGTGTGGCTGAGGAAATTTTGATTTATTCTATCATTGATTCCATATCAGCTAAGAGTGTGTTATCAAAGGTCACCCAAAATACTTCCATCACTGCCTCTTTACAGTCATCTCCCAGATAGTTTCATACGTAACATTCTAACACCAGTAGATTCTTATTTCAAAGCATAGAAATTAGTCTTTTCTGCCCTTTGACTTGAAGACTCAAAATTCTTTTTTGGGTGGGAGAGGGGGTTCGAGAGAGGGTTTCTCTGTGACTTTGGAGGCTGTTCTGGAACTCGCTTAGGCTGGCCTCGAACTCACAGAGATCCACCTTCCTCTGCCTCCTGAGTTCTGGGATTAAAGGGGTGTGCCACAAACGTCCTGCTGAAGATTCAAAATTCTTAAACTGAAAAGTTGGATCTGAGTGTTTGAACTTTAGCTTGCCATCTTGCTTTCTCTTCAGTGAACGCCCTGCTGAAGATTCAAAATTCTTAAACTGAAAACTTGGATCTGAGTGTTTGAACTTTAGCTTGCCATCTTGCTTTCTCTTCAGTGATCCAGGTTATTAGAGATGTTTTTTCCAGAGATGGTATGTGCAGTTTTAATTATCATAAATAAATAATAAGGATAAAAAAGAAACAATATTTTAAAACTAAATCTGTTAATTAAGACTTATTAAAACATTTCCTTACTAAATTGTAAAGACTCTGTCTACCAGGCTGCCTCTAACTGAAGGGCAAGGAATTAAGAAAAAGCTTGAAACTAATGTCTTGGCTTAAAAACTGGAGATTTCCATTGATAAAATTATCATAGCATATTGAAAAATATTGACCAGCTTTGCACAGATAGCCTAAGCATTCTAAGAATAATCCTACCTTCAATTAACTGTTTTCAAAATGAACCAAAAACAAACCTTTCTTGCTGCTCAAAATACATTTTCACCCTCAAACAACACTAAAATAACATTATTTAATAAAATGCATACAAAAGTATTATCTTACACTAGAGTTATTTATTGAATTATTGTTTCTTTGGAAAGATCATTTAATATTTTATTTTAAAATTTTGAGGCTATAACCACTAAATACATTGGTTATGTTTTGGTACCTAAAGTCTTTTTCTTCCCTCTGGAAAAAAAGAGAGGGCTTGAATACTAATAAGATAATTCTAAAGTTCTTATCTCCTTCAATAGTCAAATTTTGTTATCATAGCTGGAATTTATGGATTTATTTCATATCACTTATCTATTCTCCCAATACTCATTTATTGAGCCTTCATGCTCGACTACTGTAAGTACTGGAAATTCAAAGGCTTTTCACTAGATTCAAATTTATGAATTTGTACTCATAAATATCATCAAGTTTTAAACATAGAATTTCAAAATAAAACCAAAGCAGGAAGTCAAGAAGTGAGTACAAAAAGCACAAGGAACCTGTGCTGTGTACCTGCACAGCATCAAAGTGTTCCCATAGGGTAGGGCATCATTCTGTTCTTGGTTTAAATATAAAATATTACTGATTCATTCCTTAAGATACTTCTGGAAGAATTGTACTATGTGCTTAGAGGAAACTGAGGGAATATATTTCTGCAAAATAAAAACCACTCTAATAAACCTGTCATATTTGTAGCTAATTTTTGAAGGCATTCGAGGTCCTGGGATAGAAGGTGATATTGCCATTGATGACGTGTCAATAGCTGAAGGAGAATGTGCAAAACAAGACCTAACAACTAAGAGTAAGTGTCTCTACTGTTGAGTGTCTCTTGATATGATGTGGAAGTGACATAACAACTATTACAATTTCATTCAAAAAGTTTTTTTTAGTTAGAAATTTCTTATTTCTGACCTTAAATCATCCAAGGTATACTTAAATCAAATGATTAAATGTTGTTGTTGTCATATTTGCAGTAACATAAAATGATAGTAATTTCTACTTAATTCTATGTAAGAATAATGTCCTGTGATTTTAAAAACAGATTTAAAATATGTTTATTTTTACTATTTTGAGAGAGGTTTGGAAAAATTTATTAAAATACTTGGCAAATCTATACACATAACACTCACTGGCACAACCAAGCTGTTTTTAACTCCAAATGGTTAAAATAGTACTGGAAGTATGTGTTGACTTGGTCTCTAAATCTTCATCTCATATTATTCATTTGAAGCATGTATTCAGAATCAATTTTGGAATGCATTGCAACTGCAGGACCCTCTTAGACCTATTTGGAAACTTTAATTCTATGGGCACACAGTGAATGAGCAATCAAGCTAAATTTACACAAATATTTCATCAATAGTGTAGCATATTCAAAGGTTTGAAACTATATATTGTGCAAGTCTGGAGTGCACCAGAGCCTTTTTAACTCAGCATATTTGTGGAAAAATTATTTCAGTCTAGACATTGAAAGTCAACTATGCAATTGCAGCTTAATGTACCGAGTTTATTCTATTACTTAACATTGTAAAAAACAAAACCAATAGGATGTGGTTGCTTATTATGAAGCTTAATATTTAAAATACACACAGTAAAACTGCCTGGATTTTCCCTTCAGAAAAGATGCTGCTGCACCCACATGAGCCAAATTTGCTAGGATGTAGGCAAAACACATGTATTCTCTTCAGAGAGTGTGGGATTTCTTTTTGCTTTCAGAACATTGCACAATGAAACTAGCGTTACACCAAATGAAGGTCATATCCATATTGCATTACAAAGCTTACATTTTTATCGAAATAAAATAAATTAGATTTGATAAGTTGAATTAAACTTTCCAAATGAGGAGAACAGGAAGGGAAAGCAGAAGTGGGGAGAATAGTCACTGGGAAACAACAGGGAAAGCCAATCATGCTTCAGAGTCATAGTCTAGAATGTTCTACCTCCAGGTTTTCATATTAGTAAATAAAGAGTAATAGTTGTCTGTGATGTACATAACTAATATCCAGGCTGTTTCCCCTTCTCTTTACCTTAGAAATAAAGCTCATGTGTATTGAAAAAAACAATGTTTTTATCAAAGGTATTTTCTATGTATTGAAACTATTAGTTCAAAAAAAGGTATATGAGGCTGTATGGGTTACTACATGGAATGTTTATGTCCTTAATGTCAGTTCTGGGCACTTATCTTCTAGATTCCGTGGATGGTGCTGTTGGGATCTTAGTTCATTTATGGCTTTTTCCAGTCATCATCCTCATCTCAATCCTAAGCCCTCGAAGGTGACCTTATCCTGGCAGAGGCTATCCATAATTCACCAGGCACTGGCATGAAGAAAGAGTCTTTGTAAATGGACACAGAAAAAAAACAAAAACAAAAACAAAAAACAAACTACCAAAGATTCCTCCACTGACTACTGACTCAAAAATTAAATAATAAAAACAACATTTTTTAAGCACTGGGGATAAAAAGACATCATGGAAATATAACTTATTCCAAACTACACTTAGAAGATAATCTTGGCCTGGGTACGGAAGAGACCTTCAGGTGCTTTTGTGGCTAAAATGATTACAGCTTCATCTGGTTGAACTCTGGAAAAAGAAAAGAAAAAAAAAGAAAGAAAAGAAGAAAAAAAGAGCTATAGAAATCCTCGTCAAAGCACAAAGTCATGGCTGGTTTTGTTTCAAATGAATAGTTTGCTTGTTACCATGGAAACCTAATGGCCTGCCAACAAAAACCTCACTGTAAACAGGGTACGTGGAGAGCTGGCATTTATTTTCCTTTCAAGAAGGTTTTATGTAGAGAATTAAATAAATGTAGGCCCTTTTACCTTTGGCTGTTACCCTTCATTGAAAATAATCCAAACTCGGAATTATTTAAAGGTTTCCTATTCCTCCCCACCTTACCCCACCCTGCTTTACTGTTGTTTGTTTTTGTTGTAACTGTTCGTTGTTTTTTTGTTTTTTGTTTGTTTGTTTGTTTTCTTTTTCTTTTCCTCCCTCCCATGGCTAAGCTAGATAACTGTATGATGTCTCTTTTTGCATGCACTACTATCCAGGACAGTAAACCTGGGCTTACATATTACACAGGCTTATCGGAGTTTGCTTGCGGCCACTTGAACACCCAAACTACGTCATCTGTTCCTATGAAGAAACCAAACCACCATCTTTTATAAATTGCCATGGAAACCAAGTGCCTTCAATGAAACAAGCCTGAATAATTTTCAACTCAGAAGCTTGCACTGCTAACAATGGTTTGTGTAAAACTATTTTGTAAACAGACGACACAGCCTACATGTGCAAATTCCAGGCAAGACGCCCCAGCCGCTTCTGAAAAAGAAACGACCCGCTTCTGCGTAAGCCCATGCAGACAAGATATTTGTTTCACTTCCTAGACAGCCATGGCCTTTCGGCTTATTGTCCATAGAAAGTACCTTCCACTGAGACCAGACATGGGAGCAACACTTTTTTCTTCCAGGTTATTAAATGGGTCAACCAGAGCAAAAGGTTGTTGAGATAATACTTAGCGCAGAAGGTGATAAAACACAGAAGTGATTTTTTTTTTACTCTAACCTCGGTTTGAAAAGAAATTGGCCCTGCCTTTAGCGAGAACAAGGAATGTTTGAGATTGCCGTGAGGACGAACTCTGCCGCGGAACTGGGCCTGAAAAAATATCTGGCTTTATTCTAAACTCTGAGGGTAATATGCCTCTGCCCTTTAGTCAGACTCTGTGCAAATTGTGAAATATTATTTTATTATTTTAACAAGATTAAAAAAAACACTTTTACAAAAAAACAAAAACCTGTAAAAATGATTTTGAGCTACCTGAGGACAAACCATACCTTTAACCAGCCAGTTTTCCAATGCATTGTAAATTTCACTTACACCTGTTGGTTATGAAAATTTGAAGATCTTTTTCCTTAAATTATCTCAGCTTTTAACTTCATTTAAAAAGACTTTTGTCTTAAGAAGAATATTATTATCTGTTCTTTCCACACCCCAGGATTTAAAAAAAATATTGATTATGCAAGTAATTGGGATCTAAGTATTAAATTGCAGTATTGCAAATATTAATATAAAAAAGCACAACAAAATGTAGTAGAAAATGACAAAGCTTGACTTTTTTAAAGAACTGTAGAAAATGTTTGTGCAAATTCAGTAATTCAACTTAAAATATAATTTTACAGCTCTGTTCAATAAAGCCTCTTTCCAGGTAAGGTATGATAAGCAGTATGTGTGTTTGTTTGGCAATATTCACTTACCACTAAAATGAGATTAGTTATGCAATTTACTGGTTATGTTATCTCGGGATAAATCTTCAGTGCTTCATACACAATTAATGTCTGCAGGAAGAAATTTTAATAGAAACACCAGATGCACTCTTCTTTATCTGTAGTACATGTAAAGAATGTTGTACCTCAATAGGTAAAATATGAACCAAATGCAAGTTGAAATTTAATGTAAAATTTCATAATCAGTTCAAAAGGGGACATGTCAAAAAAACCTATGAACTGACAGAATCAAGCTAACCCACATCCTTTAAATTGAGAAAAAGAAACAAATGACTATCATAATTTATTTGAATTAGTCATATTCAAAATTTGTTCAAAACTTCCAAGTCATCCATCTATCCTATCAAACCAAAGATTTCATGTAAGTGATATCTGGGGCACTCAGCATCTGAAAAATCTGCATTTGCTTCTATTTCCACTGTACTGCAACTTACCACATCTCTTCATGATCCTAGATTAGTATTATACAGTTTTATTATATTTTATTTTGTTATGCCTTATTTTTTTTGCATTCTCTTGACCAGGACACCAATAGGATCTTTTGATTTAACGAGAGGCTTGATTTGTCATCTTCTTTCAGTTATCTTTATGTTGATTTAAGTGACACTTTTGCAAATAAATTGACAGGAAAGACCCCAAAATTTAGATTATTTAAAAACATATAGGAGGTTTTTGGTTTTTTGTTTGTTTGTTTGTTTGTTTGTTTGTTTCTAAGTTATCCCAAGCCAACAAACTGCTGTAAGTAAAAGTTTTGATTGTATCATTAGGCATTCATCAAATACTAAAAATCTTTCCTAAGCTTTCACATTCTAAGAAAACACACTTCTGAAGTTCATGAGAACTGGCTGGTACTTCAAAATTAATTTTGATTAAACTTCTAAGAGGTCACAGATGACTGAGACAAACAGGGGGCAATCAGAGGGGAAAGCAGACAGAGGTCTGAGATGGTTAAAGGGATTTCTCACATGAGCTCTGCATCATCTAGACAAGCCAACAAACAGAATCGATGTTTTGTCTTCAGATCAAATGCTCAGTTGCTGTAATTGAAAGAAAATGGCGAAAAATGTGGAAACTTTAAAATGATTTGGGTAAAGGCACTGGGAATTTCGTGACATCACCTTGTCTTTAATAGAACTAATGATTGTGAAACCTTTAAGACATTATCGGTGACATTCTCATTCCTAACATTGCTGTGTCTACCAGAAACGGGACTCGATAACACCTTCTCCTTACCATTTTGATAGTGTGTCAGCCCTGTAATGCAGAGAAGCCAGTTGAGCTGATGGGTTGTTTTTTAAATGGGGAAGCATCTAGCAATCAGGTTTTTGTTTTCTGGGAGAAGCAACACACCATATAATCTCCAATTATTGACAATAATTGATCCCCATTAATCAGGAGTAGTATCACTTTAAACATCAAAGATGTTTCTTTACATGTTAACATTGCTACAATTGGGCCTATTTTGATTACAATTGGCAGTATTCCCATGTAGTGATATGAAGGTTCACACAGGAGCTGAGAGGACCTGAATATGAATATTCACCACAGTACTAAAGTTGACAGAAGTGCCAAACAATGCAAATATGATCTTCTTTCCTTCAAACCTAAAAGTGAGGAAAAAAATACAACCAAATAACAATTACAGGATATATAACTGGTAATGGACTATGCAGTCTTGCTTTTTTAAAAAATCAGAGTCTTCTTAGATGCTTTCGTTCACACCTACCCTTGCGTTTCCATTTCCTACCTGTTTTCCTGTCATCTGTTTTTTCAGTACATCATAGATTTTATGTATTCCTGGTCTACTATGATCCCTGGTTCCATGTGGCTTCTTGTATCCAATAGATCAGGAGTTTGGTCCATGGTTACATTTCTTTAAGAGAACTGACAGATGCATAGTTACATTGCCAGGGAGTGGACCTTGACACTAATAGCCCTTCATTTCACGTTTTCCACAGAACTGACTTGGTAGAGAAATGAATATTATCTGAATTAGAACCTAGATAGTCTGTTATACCACGTAATATACAATGAAAATAATTCCATTCTATATTTCATACTTTGAAATACAAATTACAACTGTACTAATTTTTCACCAAACAGGCAATTTTGTTTTAAGTACTTTATAATAATAAACTTATCTGACAAAAAATGTATGATTTAAAGAATAATTGATCCATTTAGTTCTGTGCTTGACTATAAACCTAAAAGACAAAATGATTATTTTTCATAATCATTTCAATTTTATGTTTTTATTTGTAATTTTAAAGTTAGTGACAGACTGATCTGATTTTTGTAAACTTTTCAAATTATTCTCCTAAATATGTATTCTTTATCACAAAACCTTTTATTTTTATTATTTTTGTAATGTGCCTTTCAAATACCAGGGCCACTCAATAGACATTTAAACTGGAAAAAATTTACCTCCCCCCAAAAAATAAATTTTAGCCAATGACTACTTCCACTGTTTCAGCTGTGGCTCAACAAAGCAGAAGGTACACTCTTCTTGCAACTGGGCAGTTGATGTCAATGAGGAGTTATTGCATTTTCTGTGAAAACAATAAAATCATAGGGTTCAGTCCCAAGCTATTTCTTTTCCTACAATGTTCCCTTTGTGGCTAACCCATTAAATTCATTTTCTTAGTGTTATTTTTAGAAAGCAATGTATGTCATTTTCTACTCTGTCTTAAGAGAAAAGCTACTACAAAATTGATGTTTTTCAAAGCTAATATAAAATGTTGGCTGAATATTCATAGCATATATACATTGAATTGTGTGTGTTATTATTACGTGAGCAAAGAAGGATATAAAAGTCTAACACTATAATGTGAAGTATGTCAGCCAGGAACAGTCCCTATTCAGTTAATGTCTGCTTGGAAATAGAAGTGAGAAAGAAAGATAAAGCTTCCACACATTTCTATATGGATTACTTTATGAGCACGTGTTCATTTAAAGCTTAATAAATTTATGAGTAGTGATTTCACTACACTGAACCCATGTGAGAATCTCAAACTGGAATCCAAAATTTGGAGTAGGGCTGAGGTTAAACTCTGGGTAGAAACTGCAATAGTTTTCTCAAGGATATATTTACAATGGGAATTTAGTTCAATTGTACTAATTTTCCATGAGTTGCTCTGAAATGTATTCTTATTTTTCAATAAAACAATGGGAAAGTTGATGAGTAGGGATGAGCTTGGTAGTTTTGCTTGTTTTTGTATGGCTCTTCATTGTTGCCCTGGCTTTCCAGGCTATCATTTTTATTTCTTGAGTCTTATCAGTATATTTAAATGTATAAGTTTAATCAATATGCATTGTGTTAAATTTATATGAAATATGAGTTACATTGGAGACCATAAAGTTTAGACTTAATTTACATTTTGATATTTTCCTTCTTCCAAATAGTTTCAGATAGCTGTCTGTTATTTTCCTTTGAATTTTTTTTCAATAAATGAAATTATGTTAAATACTCTATTAGTGTTTGGGGAAATTTTCTGCTGTCAATAAGCAATTAACTTAGAAAACCAACAAAAATGATACTTAGAATGACAATTAAAATGAAAGTGTCATTGTTTCTTTCACAACTAAGAAGCTTTTGCAGACTCACCACCTCAGTGAGTGTAACTGGACCATCAAGATTTGTGTTAATATTTACGTCCTTTTTGGGAGATAACTTATATCATTGTGATAAACTAGTAGACACTAAGATAAACTAGAAGACACACACACTGAAGGCATGTGATTTAAGAATTAGGATATGTATGATGCAGTACCTAGGCTTCTGTATGAGACATGAAATAATCTCAGCTTGATGATGCAATGATTCCAGCTTGATGCTACAATGGTTGTAGACTGATAATACTAACCTTATTCAGGAAGACTTTTTGTCAGCTGCTCAAAAGGCCACTGCCACCTAAATGTGTCTTCCCAAGGAAACAAATACACTGTCCCACAACGATCAGTGAAAGTCAAAGTGTAAGTGGACTTCTGAACTAGCACAAGTTGGTTACTGTCTATTCAGCATAAGTTTTTGCTATCTCCACCATTATGCCTCAAAGTAAACGCTTGAGCATTAAGAAATAGAGATACAGTTAACATTTGAACCCATTAATTGTGTTAAAAATGAACTCCCTTCCAATGGTTCCTTCACTATGGGTTAAATTACTCTACATTCTCCACAAGCCATTTCAATTTAATAGCAATTTTACAAATCTCATCCATTTTTTATTTTCTAAGATATGAGAAAGTCATTCCTTAGTTTTATTTGTTTTTATTTCCCTGAAGAAGCTGTAACATTGGTTATGGTAAGGATGACCATATCTTTATTTCTTCAATACGAATGAGATTTCTTCAATGTATTGCTTCAATACAATAAGCTGTAAGTCTGGGCTCAATAAAAAATATATAGCATAGTTTATTACTGATTAAGTTATATTTGAACTAAAAACTCAAAGGGCTAGGAAATATTCAGAATATTTATCTTTTAATTATAAAATCATTGAAATTTCATAAACAGAATAATAAATTTTCCTTGTTGTTTTTTTGATTTAGGGTCTCATGTACCCAGGCTGGACTCAAACTCACTGTGTAGCTGAGACATACTTTGAACTCTGGATCTTCCAGCATCAGAATACCCAAAAGGGGGTACTTTGCATGTTAAAATTTGTTAAGGAAATGAAATTAAATTATAGGCATGCCCCAGAAATCCCAGCTCAGTTTTCATAGTCAAAGCATAAATGTTACATATATTATCTTTGCAAAGAAAATCCAAAATTAATCTAGAGAAAATTAGACTAACCTAATATGTTTAAGGTAGAACCCCAGACTAAACATGGAAATAATTTTTTATAGTGCTTCTTCTTTCAACTATAGTTTATTAGTTGTAGATTAGGGGGGTTCTGCTTGCTTGTTTAGTGTTCCAAAGATATATAAGCTCCATCTTAATTCAAAGTCTAGTTTCTTTCCACATCTGTTGCAGTATAAACGTCCTGGTCTCCAGTCACCTAGTTAATCTTCAATATGGTATGCAGCAAACATTTTCAGACATGTTTGATAATTTAAATTACAAAGCAAAGTTATACAAATAGTAGGATATAACCCAGGCATGGAGGCTCACACATGGAATCTCAGTTCTCAGGAGGCAAACACAGGAAGACTACCACAATTTCAGGTCACACTGAGCAACATAGCAAGTTCATCATGGCCAGCCAGAACTATGGAGTGAAACCTCATCTCAAACAAAAGCCAAACAAAAAAATCTATATATGGAAAATAACAAATGGTATAAAATGAGAAACAAATAGTCAAAATTAAAACAGTACTGAGCAAAGATACCTAATGATCTTTTAAATTTGTTTCTGTTTTGGATTATATAGCTTAATTCACTAAACTGCACAGTTTAGCAATTCACTGAACTGATTAAAAGACTGTGATATGATGCTATTATGCAATAGTGCAGTACTTATTTAGTGGTGGGAGTATTTTGTGTGTTAAAATTTGCTAACAAAATGAATATGAATCTTTTCTTTTTTGTTAAGTTTTCATGACAATATATAAATTATTTCCATGCAACTTTGCAAGTGTCCCAAAGGCCTTTACAATACTGAGGATCTGAAGGTACTAGAGAGCATCAGTTCTGATTCTGCAACCTCCATGGAGCTAATATTTCCTTACTCACCACTTTTCCCGGTGATTTCTCTGTTTTCTCTTCTTTCAAGTTACAAATATTCTCACGGAGAAATTAGTGTCTACTAACTGATAGTATCAACTGTCCATCCACCCAGTGTTTTTAGTTGAAAACTAGATTGAGAAAACAGTGGATTTTCTGACAACAGCAAAGGACCAAGAAGTAGAAGCAAATAAAGGCAATGTCTGTAAAAGGTGTTCTTAATTGGTCTAGCTCCATTCTCTGATCACCAGATAAGTTTTATTTGTACAAGCAAGATATTGCCACAAATATCCAAGGCAGTATTCATTCCATAGTTCTCCCAAGGACACTTGAGACTGCATACCAAGTTCAGACAGTGTAGATTGAGTGAGAGACACACAGGCTATCAGGTGTCATGAGGAATCTCCTTTGTTTAACAATGTGGTTAGTGTAGAAATCCACAGTGCTTCCCAGAGAGATAAAGACAAAGAAAATCTATGGTTAATGTCTCTTACAAGGAACTAAAACACAGTATCCACATGAGTAGATGGGAGAAAAAGAAACATTTCACAACCAAATGCTTTCAAATACACATGAGCTAGAAAATGAAAATAAAGTATTAATGAATTAAATAAGCTCTTAAGAGATTTGCAATAAGCATATTCATGAATATTTGACCACGTGCATGTCTTCCTCTTCTTTCCTTATGCCCACTGTAAGTTCAGCTTAGCTGTTCTGCAGAGCTTCCCCTCCTATGTGAATTCACAGCAAGCTGTAGGCTACTCCCGAGTACATTTAACATGTCCTTCATCAGGCAAGTTCTCACTGCAAACAACTTATTTTTGTTGATACTCTTTGGCAATTTCTCATATGACTTTCTGTTTTCATGCCCCCACAACTCTGACTCTCTTCTGTGAAACAGAGATACTAGCAACAGTGTGACATGTGTTCCAGATGACCAATGGGAGGTAGGGCCACGGCAGGCTTTACAGCACGTAAACAGTATGGTCGAGCAAAGTATGACAAAATTTGATGAAAATGTACTATCTCTTAATGTGCCGATGTTTTTAAAGAAAAAGTTCAGTACTGAAAAAAAAAAAAACCACCTTAAATGTGAGCTTGTTCACATGTGCAATATTTAGAAATGAACCTTTTGGATTATTTCAAATGTCTACAATAGTATTACTTACTCATCCACACATGCTATTTACATGTATAACAAGTCAATCCGTAGTCCATAAGGTTAAGATATCTTTATTCAGATAAACACCAGCTAAACGCAAGCCAGAGCGTGCCAGGGGAAGCAAGGCAGGCAATCCAGAGAGAAGGCGCTCTCATGTGCCTTGCAGCCCCTTGAAAACCTATTATGTGTCATCCTGACCTCAC